TGGGGGGGGGGGTTTGCAAACTTAAAGCCATGTTCCTTCCCTATGCATGGCTCTGTAATGTGTTAAATTCTGTATTGGGCATCAGGCCTTGAAGCTCAATGGGGTACAAACTAGTCCAAGAAAGTGTCCCTTTTGCACCTCTAAACTGCTCAGGGGTTTGTAGAAGGACCTGTTTCACTGTTGGATATAGCAAGTATTTTCTGTCCTTAAAGATCCAGTTACCAATCAGAATGTTGAGGTGCTGCTTCCTCTTTCTTCCTGGCCCCTCTTCTTTGATTTGTTGTGAATGGATACAAGCCATAGGCATGACCTGCTGTTTGCAATCCTTTCCCATCAGGCATGAGGATGGCACTGTGAGGTTTTGGGATGCTTCGGGCGTTTGTTTGCACCTCCTTTATAAGCTGAGCACAGTGAGAGTGTTCCTCACAGATGTAGATCCCAATGACAATATGAACCCACTGGGTGAAGATGAGTGGCCACCGCTGCGTAAGGTAAGAAGGCGAAATCTGCTCAGATTAAACAACCTGAGTTTGGAGTGTTTTGAGGTGCTGGTGCAGTTAACTTGGAAACTGCAAGAGGCTGGTGCTGTAGAGACCAGTTTGTGTTAATTTAGTCTCTTTTTATTTTTTTCCTTTACTAGGTTGGTTCTTTTGATCCTTATAGCGATGACCCCAGGCTTGGGATCCAGAAGATATATCTGTGTAAATATAGCGGGTACTTGGCCGTAGCTGGTACAGCAGGGCAGGTACTGGAACTATGTAAAACAAGTTTCTGGTGGGGGGTTCATTTGGATGTTTTGGAGGCTTAGATATAATGCAAGGTAGAAATGTACTTAGGTTTGGAATCTGGTGTTTTCCTCTGTGGATTAGACTTTATCCTCTTGGTCAACTGATCTAGTATCTGGGGAGCAGCAAATGTGTTAGGATGACTTGACCTAGAGTAACCAAATTTAGCAGCACAGGTTCTACCTACTAACATAATTTAAGCGAAGGAGGGTGGCAAGAGGGGGAGGAGGGATAACATTATCACTGAAACTTTGTCCTATGGGTGGTGATTGGTCAATTAAGTAAAAATAAGAAGGTGACCAGTCAGCTTGGTCTTGGGAGCGAAGGAAGGTATATTCCAGCTCTAAAGAGAGAGGAGAAATCTGTAGCTTTGAGTAATTGAGTTGGCAAAGCCAATATTAGAAATGTGTTGTTATCCCCTTAGGTGCTGTTGATGGAACTGAATGATGAAGCAGCAGAGCATGTGGTGGATTATGCTGAAGCAGACCTACTGCAGGACCAAGAGGGCTATAGGTGGAAAGGTCATGAGAGACTAAAGGCCCGAGATGGGCCTGTCCGATTTGAACCTGGCTTCCAACCATTTATTTTGGTCCAGTGTCAGCCACCAGCAGTAGTCACATCACTGGCCCTTCACTCTGAATGGAAGCTTGTGGCTTGTGGTACAAGCCATGGCTTTGGGCTCTTTGACCACCAGCAGAAACGGCTAGTCTTTGTCAAGTAAGTCCTTCCTGGTGTAATAGGGTACTTCCTAGGAATAGAACTGCCTCTCTAGCTCTCCAGGCAGTTGAATTTATGTGTTGGTACTTTCATGTTTTCTGGGGAGCAGCTGGTACAGGGGAAAGGCCCTGATTTAAACTTGGAATGAATGCGCCATGTTGTCTGCTTGGGCACCTTCCTTCTGTGCTTGGGCATCAGTTTACATAATTCAATTTTATATAGCAACAGTGTCAGCCTGGCAGAATAACCAACTGAACAAGTGTGGCAATTGCTCTCATCTTAGATGTACATTGCATCCCAGTGACCAGCTGGCCTTGGAAGGCCCTCTGTCACGTGTGAAATCCTTGAAGAAGTCCCTCCGGCAGTCATTCAGGCGGATTCGTAGAAGCAGGGTGTCCAGCAGGAAGCGACGAGCCGGTAATGTAGCAGAGGTGAGGTGATGCCCTGTTGGATACTTGGAGTACCAGCAAAGAATAGGGTGTTATCATTTGTATATCATCCTGATCTTAGTATAGTCCTGACTAGACTCCACAAGGCTATACAGTTATTTGTAACCTTCAGTCCACCTGTTATACCAAACACTAATGGGTACAATGGGCAGCAGTGTTTTTGCTGCTCCTGATATTGGTACCATTGAGTGAAACACCACCTCACTAATTTCATGTTTTAAGGTGTCTCTGGCAAAACCCAGTCTAGGTAGTTGAGTCTGTGGTACAAAACACAGTATGAGTAAATGCAGGAGTTTCTTCTCTCTCTTGCTTGCTTCTGCCAATGCATTCTCTCCTTCCTCCCCCACCTTGTAAAGAGGTGCTGGGGATGTGGAGGTGTGTTGGCTTTTCTCAAAGTTTAAATCCTCTTCCCCAAAGGAGGCTTGCCCTCCATGCCTGTAATGACTTCATGAGAGCCAAGAGCATTCCAGGCATAACTTTTTGTTGTGCTTAGTCAGTAGTGGGGAAATGCAGAGATGCTCCATCTGAGGGGGCTAAAAACTGAGTCATCTTTATATTGGATTCAAGCAAACAGGATTTGTTAGCCAGGAGACACGGGGCTCATAGAGGAGATATGCTACATCTGAGATCCTCCAAAACTTGTTGCTTCTTTGTGAAGGTGCAAGAGGCCAATGCCAAGTTCGACCAGGCTGCATTGCAGGAGATGGAGCTGGCTCCAGTCCAGCGGAAGATAGAAGCACGATCTGCAGAAGACTCCTTCACTGGCTTTGTGCGCACCTTGTACTTTGCTGACACTTTCTTGAGAGACAGTGAGTAGAATGAGCAGTGTTTGTCATTCAGATGCAACTTTTAACCCTACCTGAAAAGGAGTGCAGTAGGCCAGGGATACCCAGCACTTCCGTTGTTGTGCTTCATGCAGTGCTGAAACCTTTCCAGGATGCAGGTCCATCAGTTGGTCAAGATAAAAGTAAAAGCCCATCTTCCTATGAAGCTAGTGTGGATGCAGCTACCTCTACCTTAAGTACTCAGTTCCTTCTTGTCTGCTTAGTGGCCCCCATGAGGAACAGGATACAGTTCTCCTTAATCTTTACAGAGAAAGCACCTGATCCCAAGCTGATGCTGTACTTGAATTTCCCTCTGATGGTGTGAGCATACACGTAGCGAAAAGCAGACAAGTGGGCAGATATAGAGCTGACATAGTATGTTACAGAATGCAGCTTTTAGTTCTTGGAGATGCATCGCACTTAGGGCCTTTATTCTTGTTTTAGGTTCCCGCCACTGCCCTTCCTTGTGGGCAGGCACCAATGGAGGCACAGTCTATGCATTCTCTCTGCGTGTTCCTCCAGCAGAGCGGAGGATGGATGAACCTGTGAGGGCGGAGCAGGGTGAGTGTTGCTTGCTCATGGAAATGCATGGAGCTGTTCTAATGGGATTCAGGGGGCAACTAGTAAGCTGCTAAAATGCAAAGCTACTGGCTATAAATAAAGAACAAGAAGATCTGGAAACATACTTAAAGTTGTTGCTGCTGGGGGGTGGGGTTATATTTTGACAAGCTAGCTAAGAAATTGACTCCACTGTTTTCTGAACCATCTTAGTCGCAGTTCCCATTAGGTTGCTGGTGAAGATGGAACCCACATTCTCTGTCAACAAGCCGTGTGTGCAAGCCCATCAAATGTGGCTCATTTGGAGATGTGGGCCCCCTTTGTGTGTGCTGTGCTTGTCTGCATCTTGCTAGCTGGTATAATCCCACATATTGTCTTCTCATTTTGTCCATCTAGCCAAGGAAATTCAGCTGATGCACAGGGCTCCTATTGTGGGGATACTTGTCCTAGATGGGCGCAGCGCTCCTCTCCCAGAGCCACTAGAAGTAGCCCATGACCTCTCAAAGAGCCCAGATATGCAAGGCAGCCACCAACTTCTTGTGGTCTCTGAAGAGCAGCTGAAGGTAAGCACATGACCCACATGCAGTTCTTGTATGGCACCACTTCCTTTATGTAAAGCATTAACCAGTGAGGGGGATTTGATAAGTCTTCAGGTACCTGAAGGGTGATTTATAGAGAGGATGGAGATGGGCTCTCCTTTAGCAGTAGAGGAGCCAGGACAAGGAGCAGTGGCCTCAGGCTTCATCGGAGGCAGTTTTAGGTTGGAGGTTCATTGTCAGAAAGGTGCTCTTAAAGTGGTCAAGCGTTGGAACAGGCTACCTAGAGAGGTTGTGGAATCTCTGTTCCCTGGAAACTTTTAAGAGCAGGATGCACAAACACTTGGCTGGGAAAGTTAAATTGGGAACGATCTGGCCTTGAGCTGGGGGCTGGACTAGATGACTTTGTGAGGTCCCTCCAGCCCTACTTCTCCTACAATCTTATTACTTGGGGGCAGATTATTTTGGTAGTACCTAGGAACATCAGTTGAGTGTACAGATGAGTGAAGGTAACAGTCCCTCCTCCACAAAGCTGACAGATTTGGTGTCAGTTCACAGCTGGGAGATGAACAGACAAATGGAAGTGGGAGTTCAGCATGAAAATGCAGATGGAGAATGCAGGAGTCTTTTCTATATTGGTTTAGAGCTCTGTAGCTAATTTTAGCAGCTGTCATTAGGAAACACGTTTAATTCTGCAGATAAAAATTGGCAATGGGGTGGTTCAAAAGGAGACAGTTGGGTCTGCTGATCCTCAGGCAGTTTGAAAATTCCTCTCTGGAGCTAAAATCATTGTTTGATGCTCCACAAAAGGAGAGTGGGCCCCAAGGGTAACTTATGGTTGACCCTGCTTGGCATTTTAAAGTGGTAAAGGTCAGTAGCCAGCTTCAATGCAGTTTTTCCCTATATTCTGTGACTGTGTAGGAAGGAGGGTGAGAGACCAGGATATCTGCTTAAATGGGTCTGTGACTTGAGGTCTTAATTTGCTTCCAGTAAAGTCAGTGGTGAAACTCCTGTCACAACCACTGGGAAATGGAACAGGCTCTGAAATTTGGGATTGTCCCTGCCTGCATTTGTGCTTGTTCTGGGTCTCATTTGAAGCAGGAAGGCAAATTTGGACTCTGATTTCACTGCTGTGTTTGCTGATGGCCAAAGATGTGCTGTGAATAAATGCATTGTGCAAGCCAGAGGGAACAGCACCTGGCCTACGCTGGAGTTGTTGTCATTTCCTAGGAAAAAGTATATTGCATGATTTGTTTCTACCGGCAGGTATTCACACTGCCCAAGGTGAGCTCCAAACTGAAGCTCAAGCTGACGGCCCTGGAAGGCTGTAGGGTACGAAAGATGGCAGTCGCTAACTTTGGCAGCTGCCAAACTGATGACTACAGTGAAAACAACCTGACCGTCCTAACTAACCTTGGAGACATTCAGATCATCTCTCTGCCCTTCCTCAAGTTACAGACACGCTACCCCTGCATCCGCAAGGAGGATGTCAGCGGTATTGCCTCCTGCGTCTTCACTAAGTATGGCCAAGGTACTGGCACAGTCATTGAAGGCCTGCCTCTTGTGTCCTCCTGACATTTGTTTTTTAAAACAAGTTTGGGTTGTAGGGTTCAGCTTCTGTAACAGTACCACTGCACAGAGCATGGGTGCATCGGTCTATCCATTCAACTTCAACAGGCATCAGTCATCCACTTACCAAGCAGCAGGGAACTGGCTCCATTTTGTTCTATAATTTTTTTTAGATGCCTTCATAAGATTACTCTTTTTATCTTCGTGTCATACAACACTGCAATATTGTTAGTCTGTTAGACAAGGGTATTGCTATTCTCCAAAGCCCTACTGCTTTGGACTAGCCAAATCCAGAAAAACACCTCTTATTTGGGAGTAGAGGACATCTAAATCTTCTATTCCTTTTTAGGTCTTGAACACATTCTTGCTCATGAATTCAGTCCCAAGCAAATGCCCTTTTGCATCCTCCCCTGCAGGTTTCTATCTGATCTCACCATCAGAGTTTGAGAGGTTCTCTCTTTCTACCAAATGGTTGGTTGAGCCCCGGTGCATCATTGATGCTCCAGAAATTACAAGCAACAGCCACTTGCATAACACCTCTGGCATGGAGCATACTGGAAGAAAATCCAGGTGAGGCCCAGCTGTAAAGCTTTGGGTGGCTGTGTCCTGCCATTCTCTTCCTCCTGCTTTAGTCTCACTGAAGTCAAAAGTTGAATACACTATTCTAACTTGTTTCATTTGGGGTGAGGTATGCTATGCTGCGGTCTAAGTTTTTTTTTTTTTTGTAGGCTGGCTTCTTCTCCAAGTGCTCTCTCTCTCGAGATGAAGTAGTATGGAGTCCTTGCCTCTCCCCCCCCCCCCAAAAAAAAAGGGCCAGTTGGGACTGTTAAAGTCTGTTAATGTCACTTCTAAGCAGATTGGCACAAGGTAGCATAACTTTCTCTGACCTTTTGCCTACTGGCTGCAGTGCACAGGGAATATGTAATGAAGGGTGGGGATTGGCCTGGTCTCTTCACACTAGGCACCTTGAATCAGATTCTTAAAATCTATAAACACTCTTGCTGATGGCACATCATATCTATCCTACTACCAATCAAGTAATCCCCTTATGAGCGTGGTGTTAGACTGCATTAGTTTGCACCCTTTTACTTTATTGATGTACCATAGTATATCAAGCAAATTGGATTGTTGCTTTGTAATCTGACCCTTCGTGGTCTGTGATCGTAGACCTTTCTTGGAAGTGATGGTGAATTGTTCTCCAGAACAATATGGAAGTTGTCCAGGAGCCAAAACCCCCATGTCCCCAGCATCCCATGTCCTGTACTTGCTCTGCAAGCCCCTCTGCATTAGCACATACTTTGTTCTTCTTTCTTAGGGACCTGGGCAGGAGTTCTGGTGACACTGGAGAAGATGGTAAGCAGAACATAAGTACACTTAATTTAACAGAGTGATATGTAAATATTTTAAAGCTTCTGCTACCATTTCCCTCACTGAAAAAACAGCGATGGGTTTGGTGGTGGAGGGATGAGAGGAGATATGACCATGGAAAATCCACATCCAGTTTATCTTCATATCAAAGGCTAACACTCGAGATGACCTGGGTGTGCAGCTTTGCATGTTAAAATATCTTATCATTTATAGTCTGGAGATGGAAATGAAGCACAATCTGTGCTGGGAGGAAAGGGCTGAGGGAGGTGCTAGAAAGATCTAACTGGACTTTAATACAATATTAAATCTGTTTCTTGTAGACTGTTTTGCAGTGTCCTTCATCATTGTGCATGTGTTTACTGACAAGCAGCTGTATGTAAACTTTTTTCTTGCTTTCAGAGAGGAAGTCAGGGAGGCTGATGGAACATGCCTTACTAAATGATGAAAGTGAGTGTGACCAGCTATTCCAGCTGGCGGGACAGGTGTACATTTGGGTGGGAGCAACATGTGGTCTTCTCTAGAGTAGGAATGAAGATGTCATTGGTCCTCGTAGTTTGGCACTCTTCAGGAGCTGCAGCTGTATGATTCCAGTGTCAGTACCAGATTTATATTATGGATTGATTAGGGGCAAGGATATAGACAGCACATCCTGAAAGAAGTGCCTGCCTGCTTTCATTGCTCCAATATACAAAAGGAGTTTTGCTTTCCAGCAGCAAAGCCAGCTGGAACTGGCTGCCTTCCTGGACCTCTAGCAAGTTGGTGCTTGCAGCATCCCCTCTGGCAGGCAGTGCTGTGCTCCCGTGTGTCAGCCCACCCAAACCTGTGCAGGGTTTGTGTTGCAAGCTAGTAGTGTGGAAGGGGCAGTAATATTTCAGAATATGACAGGAGGGTGGGGTGATTGAAAACCTAATTCTTAAGGCAACAGTGAAGTATTTGCTCCTCCATCTGCACAGCAACTGTTCACTGCTTTGTTTGCTTTCCAGAAGTGCTGAAGGAGATCCAGAGCACACTGGAGGGGGGAAGAAGGCGAGTACCCTGTGATCTGCTCTCCTTTTTCTTATGGGCTTAGGGAGGGAGGGCACTTTCAAGGAAAGCAGGGAGAAGACTTAGCGCAATGGCTGATCCTGTGGCACACTAGAATTGGATTAAATGCCTCTTTAAGCCAACTGAGACTCTCTCTTCTTTCCTTCATGTTCTCCCTTGAGGTTTTAAGAATAACCCTTTGTCTCTTTTTCTCTGAGAAGAAGAGGAGATCCCATTCCCATATACCAAAGAAGCAGGACTCTGAGTACTCGCATACAGGTTTCTATTCACATCAACCCATGCTAATCTATAGACAGGTCAAATGGGCTTAGGTGGTTCAAGATGGGACTCTGGAATTCTTATCCTGGCTCTGTGCTGTCACTTGGATGTGTCACTCTATCTCTGCTCCCACTCCCTGTCTGGACAATAAAGATAAGTTACTCCACAGGTGTGGGCTTTTAACTTGTGTCCAGAGAGCACCACAATTTTCAGGTGACAGGGGCTACAGGTGGCCAGACAAGTGACAGTTACAGCTCATGCAAAAAGCTTTAGTGGGATGGGCAACCGCTGGTGTGTAAGCTCCGTGGAGAGGATGGGTGAGTGACTTATGCTTTGCGTGCTTCCTCTGGACATTGCCTCCTCTTCTATCAGCAGCTGGGAGTGGATTGGACAATCGTTTATTGCAGTGACTGATTTCTATTTTTTTTGATCTCTTCTCGTTACAGGAGTTATACAGAAAGAAATTCGGCAAGAAGTCCCGTAGGACATGGGCTAAGTAATGGAGGAGGTAGGTAGAGTCAAGCATTTTTGAGCTCTGCAGCAGGCAGCAAGAAGTAAAGGGGCAGCATTTCTAGCTGGAGCCTTGTGTTCATATGACATGCTATGGAATACAGTGCACTAGAGATTGGAACACCTGTTATTGGGTGGGAGTTTGCCAGCTGTCTGATATATCCTGCCAAAGCGCATGAGCAGCCTACATGCGGAGTGAAATTTAGATGTGCAGCACTGGTACAGGATGATATGACAAGCTTCTCTTGAGATATTGCATCTCTGCCCTGCTGAAGAGCAGGTGAAATATTAGTTATTTCTCAGCACTAAGAGGTTGAGTTCCTTACTCTTGTTAAGGGCTTCTGATGAGCAAGCTACTAGTAGAGAGGGGCTTATTAGCTGGGGTATCTGGGCGTATGGTACTCCACTCCATGTCACTTTATCTTCCTCTGGCCTTATTCCCTTGCAGCCATTGCTTTGAAAGAACCCCTGAGCAGCCAGTCTACTTAAACAGGCTTCACTGTTGTATCACATGCTTTCAAAATGTCTAAGAGAATAGTCTCATTGCAGGGTACAGGTACATGGCCAGAGTGAAAGCACATAACAAACACTGATCTGATCTGGTGTGGATGTGGGGCCAGTCTGTTGTCTTGGGAACTTCTGGTAGCCAGTGGTTGGGGTCCATGACCTGGTGAGGCCTGTTAGATATGAGTTGATTTTGAGATGCAGGGATGTGAACACTAGAGCCAGATCAGGTTGTTGGTTAGTTTTGGCAGATCTCTTCTAACATGTGTCTCTGCCCTTTCTTCCTGAAGCGGATTGACCAGAGTTCATCGAGGACTTTTTGGCATTGGTGCACGTGCCACAACACTACTGACTGGGGAAGCCGTCCCTGGGGGAGGGGGCCACCACTGCTCTCTGCACAGAAGGACACAGAGGTGTGACTCACTCATGCAAGCCTGCCTCTGCCGCTCCCTGTAGTGCCTCACTAGAGACATTTCCTCCTGTCAGTTGGCCTTACATGCAGGCCAAAAGCAGGTCTCTGGGTCTGACCTCCCCTCCCCATCCCAAGCTCCCCTGTGTATGTCTAACTTTTTCTTTTTTTTTCAAATGTTTGCACAATTTTCTTCTTTTCTACTGGGCTGGGTTTTAAATTATGACTGCCTTGGGTGCAGAGTTTTCACACGCGCACATGGTTACCTCCAAGTAGTGGAAGATTATTTTTTGTACAATTTTTTTAATCGGATTGGTGGTTCAGTTTTAAAGGAAACTTATTTTAGAAATGTCCTTTTTAAAGAACATGAATTTAATTGATGTTTTTAATCCCTGTGGCTGCTGGAACTGGTCTCTGGAGGTACTCCGGTTCTGTTTGTTATGGTACTGCTAACCGTTTTTATGGACTTGGGTAGACTATTTTTGTAGCCGTTCAAATTGGAGGAAAATTTTAATTGAACTTGATTTTGTTTCAACACTACATTGCTCTTTTTGAAATAAACTCAACTACCTTTGTGGTCAAGGTCTGCTCTGGTCTCTGTGTCACTTTGCTTGGATTAAATTGGTAATTCCTTTGCATGGTGGTAGAAGGTTAGCTTCAGAGGTTGGGGACTCGGACACCAGCCTTTCCTAGCTGAGCCAACATTCATCAGCGCTGGTGCCAAGCAGGACTTCTGTCAGTAGTCATATTCTGTGTTTGCTCATGCATTTTTGACCGTCTTCAGGGGGCCCAATTTCTATGTAGAATTTCCCAGTTGTCCTTCTTGTAGGAAAGGGTGGATGCTGGAAGTCATGTGTGGTTCATTATTAGAAGCTAAGCAGCAGGGTTATACAGAACACAGCCTGCTGTGAGCCCTGCAGGAAAGCTTTACATTAAAGCTCATGCTATCTTTCCCTCCCTATCTAATATTATAAGGCTTTGGGTTTTTTTCTTGCCTACTTCACTTTTCTGCTGGTGGGTGGCACTGATGGGGATGAGAAAGTGATGTATACGATTCACTGTTCCTGGAATAAGCTGTTCCATCATGCCTGAATCATACAGGTAAGAAAGGGACGTTGAGTGGTGCATCCTGGAGGCTGAGTGAAGGGCTATATTTTCACAGTGTTTCACACTTCAGCCATGAGTGCTTATAAAATCCTTCCCACTCCAGTTGATGGAACAGATCTGCTTCAGATGCGCCTAGATGAGCCATCAGACTTCCTGGTTCTGGGACTGAATACCTACATTGGAGGCATTAGCTCCAGGAGCTTTCTGTTGCCCAAGAGCTCTTTCTGGAGCAGGTAGGTAGCTATGAGCAAGTATTCCTTAGCCCTGTGCTCTGGGGCTCGCCTTGCTACCAGCTAAGTTGACTCATCCAGAACTATTACAAGAAGTTCCGTTTGGACATATCCCTGCTCCTGTGCAGTCTTGCAGGAACTGGATCTGCTCTGAAGTGTTTTCCTGGATGCTCAGACAGCATGTGGGAGTTCAGACACCTACACTGTTTTTTGGGACAGATGGAGCAAAGCTCTTCAGCTCCAGTGTGGTTGGTGGGACAGGTGCTATTCTGGGGGGCTTAACATATAGATAACTACAAAGACTCTGGTCTCGGTCATCTTCTGCTTGACATGCACATTGCTCTTCTTGTGCCACTCAGCCACTTCTTGCTCTGAAAATTATTCTTTCCATACCCCATTCTGTACAGCCCTCCCACTTAGTGCTTTGTGCCCAGTCAGCTTCAGTTCATCAATGAGCATGGGTGCTCGATAAGGAGCTGCACAAGGGCACCCTCAGCCGTTACCAACAGCAGCAGCTGCTATACTTTTGCACCAAAGCTGGAAGCTGTACTGTGCCAGAGTACTGCATCTCAGCTGGAGAATCTGCTAGAAACACTAATGGGAACAGATCTGCTTCTCCTGGATCATTTCCTGTGCACTACTGGGGCTGCTGCTCCCTGGACAGCAGCACATGAGGGTTTTGGTGCTATACAGTAATGGGACTTCAACGGCATCTTGTAATATTAATGCTTAGAGTAGTAAACCCAAGGATGTGTTGCTCTGGAGACCGCTTGCTGAAGAAGGGCTGTAAAGGAAGAGACTGTGTACTGTCCCTGTTTGTAGTATTCTCTAGCAAAAGCCCATGTAGGAGTGGTTGGTTAGCTCACTTCCCCATCTCAGCTACTCTTGTTTCCCTGTTTCTATTGTTGCCAGCACTCTCATGCCAAACTAGAGTCCCCTTGTGTGAATGTTGCTCAAGCATGCACAAAGGTGTGTCTGTCCTGAACAGCTTATGTGCACTTGACCACGGTAGCTTCTGTGTAGTGCTTCTGCTTTATGCTCCTCTGGGAAAACCCTGTTTCACATGTGGTTTTGTTCAGTTCCTGAAAATGCTCTCCTTATTAAGTCTCAGTCTGTCGGTACCAGGGCTAGTGCTGTAGGAAATGAAACCAGCAATTCTCAGACCATCTGGCTTCTGGCAGAGCGCAAGGTAGGGTAAAGTTTATGTTCTATCCTGGATAATTTCATCCAGTTGGTTGCATCTGCCTAATACTTCCTACTTGTATTACTGATTGGGGGAAGACTTCTGCAGGATGAAAACAGATCTTGAAAGTCTGGTATAGAACAAGACTGAACTCATTTAAAAAGCCTGAAGACGACCATTTGAAGCATGTCTGTGATTGCTTTATAATACAGTAGTGTTAGCTGGCCAGGAGATGGGGTATTAGCCTAGACCTTGTAAGACCCAGGTTTAAATCCCTGCTCTGCTTCTGACCTGTGTTTGTGAGCTTCCAGTTAGTTTAGTTTCCCATTTGTACAAATGGGATGCCAACAGACAGACATCATAAGGACAAATATATTGAAGACTACAAGGCACTGATTATAGTGAGAAGCTGCGTAAGTACCTTGGATACATGGTGAAGCTGTTTACTGAGGATTGTATCACTTTCCAGGTTTATGTTGCGTTATGCTGTATCGCTCTCCAGGCTTATGCTGCATTAGAGCACAGGCTGTCTCTGAGATTCCTTCCCAATGGTATGAATCCAGGATTTGATGGAGATGGAGTCGGTGTGGTCCCCTACAGGCCTCGTTACTCTATAATGCTCACTTTTCTCAGTGTGATGGTGGGGAGCACTGGGCTATGTCTAGGTTGAACTGTTCTGCTCTTTCTAAGCCAGGTTGGGGGTGAGGAGGAGAAAAAGGCTGAAGAAAACAGTGAAGTCCATAACAGCAGCCTGTTTAGAATAGTGCAGTCCTGCCTCTGCCACAGCAAGGACATGCCCAACCCACCCACTTTTAACTAGGGCCAAAAACAGGCTCTACCAAAGGAGGGAAGGTCATGGCAATCAGCAGCAGCATCTTCAGGAAAACAATTCTTAATTAAATGAGGCTGGAGTGAAGGCAGTCCCACCTACTCCTATTAGTCCACATATGAATTAGGTCCCTTAGCCTGATTGCAGGGGGGTGGGGGGTGGGGAAAGGGGGAGAGATGGTTGTTCATCTCCCATTCCCTGTAGAGG